CTTGGCGGCGGCGGCGGCCGCGCGCGCCGGGACCCACCTGGTAGAGCTCGCACACGAGGCGCAGCAGCGCGACCTGCGCCCGGCCCTGCAGCTGCTCCGTGTGCTTCTGTGCGGAGACAAGAGCGGCGACGGGGACACGCGGTGACCCGGCGCCGCCTCGGGGACCGCGGGGAGCTCCCGCCGCGGCACCTACCCCTCCGAGCACGATCCAGGGCACGTACTGGTGCGGCGGCGCCAGCGCGGCCGTGAGCTGCGCGTTGCGGTGCAGGAGCTGCCGGCCCAGGTCGCCCCGGGCGCACGCGGCCACCCGCGACGCCGGCACCCGCGGCGCGTACACCTGCAGGCACTGCCGGCGCGCGGGGAAGGGCCGCGGTGAGCCCGGCGCGGCCAGCGGCACCGGGAGGGCGCCGGGACGGGGAACTGCCACCTACGGCCTCCAGGCTCCCGCTGATGGAAGCGCCCGACTCCAGGCAGGCGATGACGGGCAGGGGGTCGCTCACGTTGTCGGCCTCGTGTATCACACAGGCCTGCGGGCAGCGCGGCCGTGGAGCGACCGTCCCCCCCGTCCCATGTCCCCCCATGCGCCCAGTGTCACCTCCACCATGTTGCCCAGGCACTCCTCGGGGCCGTGCTGGCACTCGAAGTGCCACGTCCCGTTGACGTTGGTCTCCTGCGGGGTGACGCGGGCTGAGCGGTGCCGCGGTGGCCGCCCCCTTCCCTGTCCCCGTCCCCGTCCCCACCTCCGCGTTGCCGTAGGGCACCAGGGTGACGCTCAGCACCTCGTCGGGCAGCATGAGCCACGTGGCGAAGAGCTGCCGCACCACGAAGGCCCGGCACGCCGGGCACAGGCTCTCGTAGTAGAGGCTCAGCTGCACGGGCGGCGCGCGAGCGGGGCCGCCGCGCGGGGCCCCCGCCTGCGTGGCGACACCGGGGCGTTACAGGGACGCACGGGCCCCGCTGCGGCCCCCGGGACTTCCCGCTGGGAATTTCCTCCGAAGGGAAAGTCCGGCGGCTGCGGGGGGGTGGTCAGGGTAGGGGCGCGCGCAGCTGCAAAAAGCAGAAGTGACAACGGATCTGGCAGCCCGGCTGGCGGCGGGGCAGCTTTGGGGGAGCGGCGCGGTGCTCGGAGCGCCCGGAGCGCTCCCGCAGCGGCACCGGGCTGCAGCACTGCGGCTTCCCCACAGCCTTGGTGGAATGATGTGGTGTCCGGAGCATTCCAGCGGCTCCCGCACCAGCAGCAGGCTGCAGCGCGGCGCTTTGTGGAGCATCCCGGCAGCTTCTGCATCGGCACCAAGCTGCAGTGCGGTGCTTTGTGGAGCATCCCAGCAGCTCCTGCATTTGGGCCTGGCCGCAGCACAGCTCTTTGCAGAGCGACACAGCACCTGGAACATCCCGGCAGCTCCCATGCCAGGCCCAGGCTGCAGCACAGCTCTTTGTGGAGCGATGCAGAACGCCCCGGCAGCTCGCACACCGGCACCAGGCTGCCACGGGGCTCTTTGCAGATCAATGCAGCACCCGGAGCATCCCGGCAGCTCCCACACCGGGCCCAGGCTGCAGCCCCATCCGCACGACGCTGGGAGCCGTCCCGCGGCGTCGCAGCGCCGGCCCCGCGTGCCCCCCGCCCCGGCGCCCGGCCCCGCTGCGGCGCTCGCGGCTCTGACCTGGCGGGCGGGCGGGCGCTCCCCGCAGCCGCGGCCCAGCGCGGCCAGCGCCACGAGCAGCGCCAGGGCGCCCGCGGGGGCCATGGCAGCGGGCGGGAGGCGGCGGCGACGCCAACGGCCCCGCGCGGGCCCTTTTCAAGGGCGGCTGCGCCCGCCCTTCCTGCCCCAGCTCATGTGACGCTGACGCACGCGGGACACGGGGCAGGGAGGCGCCGCGGGACGCTGATCCCATCACACCGAGCACCGTTTCCTTCATTCTGTTTATTTCTCCTTTTCAGTTTCTTTCTCCATTTTTTTTTCTTTTTTTTTTTAAAGTACCGTACAAAAATCCTCTTACAGTAACAAATACTGGGGTTGCATTAGTAAACATCAACGGAAAGAGCGGAGAACCCCGGCGGGGAGGAGCGGCCGCGGGGCCGGCAGCGGCTCCTGCAGGGCCCCTGGGGCAGGAGGCCCGGAGGTGCCGGAGCCAGGACGGGATGGGACGGGATGGGGCAGAGGCTGCTGGAGCGAGAGCAGCAGAGGACGAAGGGGAAGGTCCGGCCGCCCGGGGCTCCGGCCTCCGTGTGGAGGCGGGAGAGAGGCCGCGGTTCCCTGGGCTCCTTGGAGCAGGGAAGAGGCGGCCGCCCCAGGGACTCGTCCCTGTTGTTGCATGCGGGATGGGTGGAACGAGGAGCGGCCGTGTTTCCCGGGACACAGCGGGACGTGTCAGGACACGCCAGGACATGGCAAGATGCGACGGGACGGGATGTTCCCGCACGCGGCTGCCCCCAGCCCGGCCTCTCCCTGCGCCCTCGGAGCTGCCCGGGATCCGGGAGCTGCCACGTTGCACCTCAATAGCACCAAAGGACAGAGCCAGGGCCCTGAAGGGCCCCGCAGGGCTGGAGAGAGGCGGGAGCCGGGAAGGGGAGCAGGGAAGGGAGAGCAGCCCCGAGGGCTGCGCGGCAGCAGCAGCTCCGGTCTCGGTGCCGCGGGAGCAGCCCAGGGGACAGCAGGATCCCCGGTGGCCCTAGGGGACACAGGCAGCCACGCACAGACCCGCTGTGTCCCCGTGCCAGCGCACGAGCCAAAACCGGGAGCAGCTGCAGCCCGGGACAAGCCGGGGACAGCGGAGCCCGCGGGACAGTTAATGCCACAGGAAGCCAGCGAAGCCGATGCCAACGCTGCCCTCACCTCGCAGCACCCTCTCCAGCAGGGAAGCGCTGCCGGAGCCGCAGGGATGGCTCCGCCGCTCTGGCCGCCCTGGAAGCGCCAGCTCCTCCTTGCCCCGTGCCCCCGGCACAGTACTTGTGGTTCTAAGTGCTCTGCGTGCGTCGTTCCAGGCGGGGCGGATGCGGCGCCGAGGCCGTGGAATGACGACGGCAGCCACGGTCGTGGGGTTACCCCATGGTAGCTGTGGGGTTACCGGGCTCCGGGCGGCTTCGATGGGTGATGCTGGCGGAGGAGACTCGCTGCGGACGCAGGGATGCAGGGATGGGGCCTGTAAGTCCTGCCAGGAGACACACGGGCACCAAGAGGCGCCTCAGAGCCTGGCACCGAGGGAGCCTCCCGGCCCGGACAGCAGCGCTCAGAGTTGGGATCAGGGAAGGAGGCAGGGCCGGGGAGGCTTGGGAGTCTCTGCAGGGAAGAGCGGGGCCCCTGGTGCCGACCCCGGCTCGGGATGGCTGAAGGAAGCGAGAGCGGAGGACGCAGATGCTGCAGCCCTCGGTGCCAGCGGATCCAGGGAGGTTCTGGAGCGGAGCGGGCGGGATGAGCCGCTCCAGAGTGCACATAGGGGGTCTCACCTGCTCACGAGGAAGGGCAAAGGGGGCTGCGCTCCCCCACGGCGGCTCCATCCCAAGTGCATCCCGCCTCCTGGCCGCCGGAGCGCAGCCCTTGTGGCCCGCCAGCCCCCCCGGGTTTCAGCTACTGACCAACAAGGGACACCAGGAAGGGTCACACACATCTCAGAGGCTCTGCAGGGGCAGGAGCACAGACTCCACTACACAGGGTGCGAGAGGCTGGAGCCAGAAAGCGGCGCCCCGGGGAGCAGCTGGAGGCGGCCGACGCAGCGCCTCATCGGGCGGGCGCCTGGGCGAGCACCGGGTGAGCCAGGGTGACATTCAGCGAGTCGTTGTGCTGCACCAGGGACGTGTGCTTGTAGTGCAGGACCAGCTCCTTGAGCGAGGCGTACAGGTTGTAGGGCTCGGCGAAGCCGTAGCCCGTCGCCGTCTTGTAGATGACGCAGTGCTTGGTGTCGCCGTCCACCCTGCCAGGTGACGGGGCGCAGGTGAGACGAGCGCCCGGCGCTCACCCCAATGCACCATGAGGAGCCCCACGGGGACACGATGGCACAAGCAAGGACGGGGACACGATGGCACAAGCCGGTGTCCCTGGAGCAACCCAGAAACGTGCCTGAGCTCAGCACAAGGAGCACAGTCAGACGAGAGACCTGGGACACAGGGAGACCCGGGGCGCAGGGAGACGGGGGAGACCCGGGGCGCAGGGAGACCCGGGGCGCAGGGAGACCCGGGGCGCAGGGAGACCCAGGACACAGGGAGACCTGGGACACAGGGAGACGGG